TCTCCCTACCTAGTTCCCAAGATGGACGTCAGTATCATTGAAACATTGGGGAAATCCCATGCTTCAATTTTATGACGTTTCTGGAGCTGATACAATATAGATTCAGAGTAGGATCTAGCTTCATTGTCCTTAAAATCCAATATGGAGAATAGCATTCTGTAAAATCCTTGTGTTCCTTGTTATCCAAGACTAATCCGCTAAGCAGACCTACACAGCTCAGAGAAAGTATGGTTAACCTGATTTCCTTCTCTGTGTAAGTGTTTATGTGTGTGGCTCTTATAACGCACTGGCTCATCAGTAAATAAACCAGAATAGGGTTTAGCGATACATGTAAGTACAGACTAGACTTCGTATTTACATTCTTACCTAACATTCCTCTCTCGGAAAGTTCTAGTCCTTCTTCAGAGCCCAGCTTAAATTTCACCTCCTTTTCCAGATCCTTAGTACCCTGTCCCCATTCCCAGGCAGGGTGAGTTATTCTCTTCTCCCTGATCCCACAGAAATGTTCACATGGTTACTTCTGCTTCCATCATTTTGTGTATGATAATAAGTGATCTAATTGTCAAGTGTGAACCAAAGTTTTCTCATTCATCTTATTCATCTTTGTATTCTTAGTCCCTAAAAGAGTATGGTATGTAAATGATGTATAATAAGTTTCTTGGATGAATTAATAGGTATGTGTCTGCAGATAACCAATGCAGGTCTTCTAGAACAGAGGTCATCAAACCAAACCCAGCCTCCACCTGTCCTTATGAAGTCTGATTGGAACACAGCCATACTCAGTTCAATACTGCCTTTTTTAATGCTGCAATAGCAGAGTTGAGTAGTCATGACAGAGACAAGAGCCCACAAACCTGAATTTTTTACTATCTGTCCCGTTACAGAAAAAGCTTGCTGACCCCCAGTCTAGATATGTGTTTCCATCCACTGAACATTGCTGGATAAACTCTGAAAATGTCTTAGTCATTGGTTGCCCTTTATCTATTGATGGATTTTTTTTTTTAAGTAATACACCATTGCTTTTGGTTTATCACGTTACTACAAAGACAATAATTGTTTGAGCTGTATCGGGTTGCAGTCCTGTGGATAATACTCTGGTGTCATCGAACACATCATTGAAGTTGGGTGTTTTCTAAATCGTGTCAGTACTGCATCCCAAGTCTTGATTTTGTTGTCATATTTGTGGGACTTCAGTGGAAACTAGGAAAGGAAAAGTCCCATTTTAACTGCCTAAATGATGAACATCTAACCCCATTTCAGTTAAAATTAAAGGAAGTATAAGAATATTTCTAGAAATTTTAAAAACAAGTTACATGATAGTGAGAGACATGAACATATTTTCCCAGTGCCTATTTTCTGAGTAACCTAATACAGAACTTTTAGTCTCTGGACTTACATAGCATTGGGCCTTTGTTCAGGCAAAGTTAATCAGAGTAAATTAAGCACTATCAGTTTTCTGCTGGTGATTTCTAGAGATTATGATTCTAATTTTATATATAGCTCTTCGTGCGTTGTCCTTCACAGAACATGCCCTCAAAAATATTTGTTGAATTAATGTCCTGGCAAGCAGAAGTATTTACAGGATTCATTTACTATTAATATGTTGCATTAGGCCTTTATATAGAGAGAAATAGTAAATTTTATCATTGCCCAGAGGAGGGCGAGGTTATATCTAGCTGACATTGGTAAACAAGATGTGACAAAGAACATACAGTTAGAGTAACCATGGAAGAACTGAAAAAAACAAAAAGGGTAGGTAAGAAGGCAGGTCAAGCAGAGGGAGGTCGCATGGCCACAGACAGGCACACGTGAGATGAATTTAAAGGAATGGGGCTGGCCCAGCTCGCCTGCAGCCGTTTGTGTATGTGGTTTAGAGTGGTAGCGTGTAAACTCGAACAGATGAGTGTGTAGCTTGAATTTAAATACCTTTGGTACCTTCCTTTACTAGGAAACCAGAAGATGCTTGAGCAGAAGACTAAAAAGGAAAAGGCACTAGGTGTAGGAAGGAAGAGTCAGGAGACACTCGGAGGTGATCGCCTCTAAGGAGGAGCAATAGACAGTGACAGGAAAGATGCAAGAACCTTTGAAACAGAAGTTGACTAGATACAGGGTGAAGAAAGGGAGGCGGTCAAAGCTGATCACAGGGTTTCCAGCCTCAGGAAATATGGTCCTGTCTTGAATAGAAAATAAGAAATCAGAAACTTTATGGGGGAAAGATGATCAACTCACTTTGTAACAGAGGAGGCTGTATGCTCAGGAGAGAAGCCAGGCATGGGAGTCCCCACAATGAAGGGATAGGTAGTCAAGAGTCTTATTGCAGTGAGATTGAGAAGAATGAAGGCCATAAAGTCCTTAGTATTTAGCTGTCAGGAGATCTTTCATTACATTCGAAAATGAGGACCACCCCTGACCAAGTAGGTCAGGTAGTTGGAGGGTCATCCGTACACCGAAAAGGTTGTGGGTTCGATTACCAGTCAGGGCACATGCCTAGGTTGCAGGTTCCATCCCCAGTTGGGGCATATACAGGAGGCAACTGATCGTTGTTTCTCTCTCACATTAATATTTTTCTCTGTCTGTCTCTCTCAGTCGTCTTCTCTCTAAAATAATCAATAAACATATCCTCGGGTGAGGATTAAAAAAAAAAAAGAAAAGAAAATGAGGACCAGGTCAGACTTCTAATTGCTCACAAAGGTAGTGTTTGAGAGATTTCAAAAAACCTAATAAGACTTTTACATAAACCTAAATAAACTCACAAAAAATGTCACATTTTCTTTTTCTGATATCATAGCAATCCAGCATTGGTTTTTTGGCGGACTGGAAGTTCTGATGTCTGCTAATGTGCACTCGATTGATTTAGGATGGGAAAGTGCATTCTTACTTAGTCTTGCCTCCAAACTCAGCCTTTTGAAAGCATTCATGTAAGTGTTCCAAGGAACACACTTTGGCAAATGTATGAGATAACGATGTGAGGTTGCCTAGCAGCAGGCTCTGCCATGGGCAGAATCAGGCTTTTAGTCCCAAGAGGTCCAATGGCTGCAACCCTAAGAGGTTACAGAGTTTCCATGTACATTGTCTCATCTGGCCCTCTCAGGCGCTCGTTAAAACGCTCGTTAAAACGCTCGTTAAAACATCTCCCAGCTACCTCTCATTCAGAAAATAATTAGGCAGTCTACTTTGTAACTTTGCACAGTCCTAGCCATTAAGAGTTGCTTGAAGATCGATCTGGAAGAATCCAGCACTTTCTTTTCTTTGGCTTCTCTTAAAGTAATTGAAATTTTGCTTTTTAAAAAATGTCCATTAGCAAAATCACCTCAGCAGGTACTTGTGCCATGTCTGTGGATTTTCTTTATGTGTCTGTGTCACATCTGTGGCCATTTAATTCAGTTACCCAAAGAGTAATGATGCAAGCACTCATAATAAATATTTCAGGTTAGAAGTGGATTTTGACATGGTCATATTTTTGACTCTTGTATTTTATTTTATTTATTATTCTTTTTTTAATCCTCACCGGAGGACATGCTTGTTGATTTTAGAGAGAGGGGAAGGGATGGACAGAGGGAGAGAGACACCGATGTGAGAAACAAACATCAATTGGTTGCCTCTGATACGTGCCCCAACCAAAGACCAAACCCACAACCTAGGTATGTGCCCTGACTGAGAATCATGCCAGCAACCTTTCACTCTGTAGGATGACACCCAACCAACTGAGCCACACTGGCCAGGGGATTTCAAAGAATTATTGTAATCTAAGTATCACTAAAAATAGGCAAAGCTCATTGCAAAAAACCCTCAGAGTATTTGTCAATATCGTATGCTTCCTTAGAGCTTTACCTTCAAAAATGACTCCTAAATGAGAACTGTGTGTGTACTTCATGTTTTGTAAGTATGTATGTTAAGAAATTTCTCCTGAAATAAACAATATTATAAGCAAAATTAACCTGCATGGTTCACTGAACACTTTCTTAGGAGGACTACTCTCTCTGTACTCTAGTTGCTGGAGTTTTGTTTTTGTTTGTTGTTGTTTTTAATTTCAAAGAGATAGAGATAAACGGACACTAACAGAATTAGGAAGGAGTAGTTTCAACTCTAATATCCATCAAAATTAAAACATCCTTTGTTAATCATCTCAGATAACTGGATATGCTGACAGATAATACAAAACAGGATCTTTTGCTAGATAGTTCCAGGTAGAGCCTTAGGAGTTATCTGCCTTGTCCAAGGTGGAATAAGTTGCACCAGTAGAATCTAGCTCCTACATTTGACATTGAACTCCACTGCAGAGCCTCTCCACTGATTGGTTTTTGGCATTAGTTCGAGTGTCCCCATTCCCAACAGCTGCTGCCATTCAGAGAGCCAACAGGACTCAAAAAGGCAAAGATCACTCAGCTCCAAACACTGAGGAGCGTTTGGCGTCTTCAGCATCCTGGGAGGCCAGCCAAGTCATGCTCCAACCCAACTTTAAAGAGAGACCGTTCAAAGATGCTAGTGTCCTAGAGCCGAGCCCCTGCTTGAGAAAGTCTTCCCCGTGTTCTGCCCTCCTCTGTCTCTGGACTGGCCACAGGCAGGCCCTTAGCAAGGGAAACCCCGTTAGGGGAAGCTCTGACTCACACTTGCTCCCTAAACCTCCCAGTCCCTCGGGGTGACTGGGTTCCTGTCAGAAGGCACGGGAACTAAAGGAAAGTCATGGTGGCCCCTGCTTTTGATGTAAAGGGGATCCAATAGTATTTATTCTTCCTTATTTTATTCATTCCAATATATATTTGAAGGTAACGCTTTTTGTGATGCGTATGGGGCCTCAGTCCAACAGGACGTCTCCTGGCTTAACTGAGTGTTCCTCAACACGGCTATGTTTTGTAGCTTTAAAAAAAATAAAGCACCCATCATTTCCTTTTGCAGTTAGAAACTGAGGCAAAGCCTTTCAGGGATAATGAACTGACTTTTGACTCATGGCTTTAAAAATAGTAACAGTTGGTCTTTTTTTACATATGTGTGTATTCTAGATGGTGCCAAAGGCCCCCAATCACTGAGGGCATCCAGTTCACTGGTCCTGCAAGGAGGCAAAATTAAGCGGAAGTTTGTGGATCTGGGGTAAGCGCCTTATAATGTAGAATGTAAAGCCCTCTGTAAAAGATGGATTGAAGGAGAAAATGCCAACTTTCCTTTTCTGACTGTGTGCTGTCATGATAGGGCACCGTTGCGAAGGAGCTCCAACAAGGGAAAGAAATGGAAAGAAAAAGAAAAAGAGGCCAATAGGTTTTCTCCAGGTAGCAGGTACGGGTGAGTGATGAAAAACATAGATTTATCCCTGTAGCCAAACTTCCTGGCCCCTTTCTGTTGCTAACCAAAATCAATGGTCAGTACCTGGAGGTGAGATGAAAGAAAAATTTCCCAATTTCTGTATGTGTTACTCCAGTTAAAGCCTACACCGGGCCTTGGGTATATCCATTGGCTTAATTGCAGAATTATGATCACATGAACAGTTTCACCAACTATTCATCTAAATACTGCATAAGTATGTCTATGCAATATTAAGCACCTGTTGGCTTTCAAGAATATTCGGTCCACGTGTGTAGGAATGACTGCCGTTTCCTGCTGGACTGGGCGGTTCGTTTGTGGGCCTTATTAGCGATGCTTACTGCTCTATGAAGGTTATCCCTTGGAGAAGTGGGCTTTATACAGCGTGTTGCCGATTGTTCCCAATTTTATTCTGAGATCACTTCATTTTAAACTTGGGTTCGTGTAGGGAAACAGTCAGGCATAGAGCTCTGAAGCTCGACTGGCTGGGTTTGAATTGGAGCGCTCACCTGTAGAACCTCGGACAAGTTTTTTCGTCTCTGCATCTCCATTTTCTCCAATGTGAAATGAGAGTAATAGCAGTTTAACGTCAGTGTAAGGGCTAAATGAGTTTTCGTGTAAAACATTTAAAATACTGCCTGGCACATAGGAGGTATTCTAAAATAATAATAAAGACAACAATTTGCAAGTTACAGAGATGTTTTATATTTATCATTTCATTTGCCCATTGCAATAAGATCAGAAGGGCTGATAGAAACACCATACTTTATTGATGAAGAACTTCACCTTTGTATAATTTAATTGATTACCCCAGGATTATGCAACAGACAATTAATTCCAAATTCCTGGGGCATGTGCCTCCTGTCTAGATGTCTTTCTAACATTCATGTCATCTTCAGGTACCTATGCATTTCATTTTTTTTTTTTATTTTTCAGTGACAGTTTACCTTGAGTATTATTTTATATTAGTTCCATGTATACAGAATGGTGGTTAGACAATCATTTACTTCACTAAGGGGTCTGCCTGATATTTCAGGTACCCACCTGGCACCATACATAGTTACTGCAATATTATTGACCGTATTCCTTATGCTGTACTTTATATCCCGTGACTATTTTATAACTAATGATTTGTACTTCTTAATCCCTTTACCTTTCTCACTCAGCCCCCCAACCCTCCCTCTGACAACTAACAGTCTGTGCTCTGTATCTATGAATCTGTTTCTACTGTGTGCTCTCTTATTTTGCTCCTTAGATTCCACATATAAGTGAAATTATATGTCTGTCTCTGACTTATTTCTGTTTCTTTATGAAATTTGGGAATCATCCCAAAAGCAATGACTAGGGAAGATACAGACAAAAATGCTAAGAATAAAAGACTAAAATTATTTGGGACCCGCTTATCCATTTCATAGGTTGTCCTCTGCTATTTCCTTTTTTCTTTTTCTCTTTTCCGGCATACTGCATGCTGAGAAAGTATATCTTCTCCCTAGGATTACAGAAAAATGGCGTGGGAGATGAGCAGAGAGAATCCCAAATTAATTATTTTTGTTAGTCTGAGTTTCCATTATGCTGTACAGTCAAAAAAGGGTAGAAAGCGCTGTGTGTACTGAGGACACCAATCCCAGGGGGGAAAAAAATGACCATAATGCAACTCAAAAGAGATTTAACTTTGGGTGGTTTTGGAGTGAGAAACATGAAGCCGTCTACTTTTGTGCCTTAGAGTTAACAATAGAAAACTGTCAAATATGCAGAGGGAGAAGAAGAGAAACAAATAATGAAACTTTTGAAGAGCAAGAGAGATGCCCAGACGCACAATGGGAGAAAAATTTGGGCACCTCTGAAGGGACACTGTCGTCCCTTTCGTCCTTGGGCCCTGGGTCACTCCTTCTAACCTTGGAGGCTAAGAGGGACCTAAGCACAGGCATTCAGCAGGCGTGAGAAGGTTCGACTGAATGCCATCATAGTAGCCAGAGAATACGGCTGCCTTGTATAAAGTCCAGATGAAAATCGAGCAAATGTTGCCTGTGTTGGTGAGCGCTCACCTGACTCTAGGCAGCACATGGGTGGTCAGCGGTGGGTTGTCCTCTGCTTGCTGCTCCCCGTAGCTAATGCCAGCTTTTGAACCAGCCAGGCTTCTCACTCGGCTGTCTAGCCAGCTCTCTATTTTTAAAACATGAACTCTGGAGTCTCTCTGCTTCAGTAGTCACAGATAGTGCCGCGTGTACCAGCGCTACAACGTAGTTTTGAATTAGAATCATAATTTTCAAAGTATTTGTAATTACTGTAGAATTCTGACAGAACTGAAAGGAATTGATGTAATGGAACTAGTAGAATAGGGAAGAAGAGAGACTTCTGTTTCAAAACAAATAATGTTTTGAGCTATCACAGTAATTTGGTTAACACTAATCAAATCTAATGACAGCCTTTGTTCTTCTATGTAGACTGACAATGGGTCCAGCACCTTACAAAACACTCCTGGAAGAACAGTGACCGCCAGGTGGGAGCGCAGGGTCCCAGGGTCCCTGAAGGGAGGGGGTGAAGGGGCCAGCAGCCCCTTCCTGTGGAAAACTGAGAGGAAATTCATCATCCTGTGAGGCTTTCTCCAAAAAAGCAGAGTCTAATTCACGGATTGAGTTTGTAATCTTATCTCCAGGGCATTTCTTCCAGTTCTTATATGGTTGTAAAAATCTGATGAAGTCATTCCGTTCTAATCTGAGGCTATTAGACACTAAAAGGTGAGACATTTGCCAAATTTGGTCTCAGTTTTAGTTTCTTTTCCTCCCAAAGAGTAAGGAATTTCCTTCATTGTATTCCTTATAGAGATATAATGACTCAAATACATGACCAACATGAAACAGATAAATGAGTTAAAATAGTAATAAACAAATGAACAAATGATACAGAGAAATACTGGTTTGGTTTTATCCTTTTCAAGTCCATGCTCAGTGAACATTCTGATTTAAATAGGTAACACAGCAGAGGACAAAAGCAGGAGACATTTAGTTGTCAGAGGCTGTTTCTCCCCAAAAGGATGAACCAAAGAGTAAAGTAAAATACCATCTGAAGTTCTAGAGTAAGTGGCCATTGAGTTCAGCGGACTGTCCACTTTGGAGCCCTGCGAGCGAAGCTCCCAGCTCGTCCCTGACGGGAGAGCCCTGTGAGCAGGCCTGTGTGTCGGAACAAGGCCGAGGGCGGCTGTGGGAAAGCGGCAGGGCAGGGAGCTGGCCCTTCGCTGGGGGGGCGAATCTTGATTTACCTGAAGTGTGAACAGTCGCAGAAACTCTGAGCTGGGATCCAACTATTCATCCTGACTTTGCCGCAGATGAGTCTCTGAATTCCTTGGACCTTGGTTTCCTACCAAAGAATAAGTGAGGGGCCTGAAAGAGCCTGGTCTCTAACCTCCACCCGTCTCCCCCAGCACTATCCAGGACGCAGCCTCTGGCCCCACGTGTCCACTGAGCACCGGATATGTGGCTAGTTTACATGGAGATGTTTGTCAGAGAAAACGTGTGCTGGATTCCAGAGACAATATGAAAAAAGAGTGTTAAATATTAATTATAAAAATTAATTTTACCTTACAATTTTTTTCAGGTGGTTACTAGAAAATTTTAATTTATATAATGTGGCTCATATTCTGTCTCTATTGGACAGTGTTGATCCATATGATTCTATGAAAAACAAATACTCTTTTGATTTCTAACAAACACTCCTTTGATCTATAAATTAGCATGTATTCATTTATTTACCCTTTGTATCTATATGTACTTCCCCTTATTCCAAATATGATTTGTTTATATATACAAAGTACATATGATACAACATAACTTATTTTAAAAGTAAATGGGATAGGGAAAACAAGAAAAAGCAAAAAGTAAGGCTGGTAACTAAAACAGAACATCTTCAACAATACCTTCATAATAAATTTAACAGTGGCCTTCAGTAGAAGCCAACAGCGTAATGCCAAAGTGGCTAAGAGCCTGGGTTCAGATCCCAGCTGTGCTACTTACATCATAGGCAATTTACTTAAGCTCTGTACCTCAGTATCCTCATCTATAAGATAGAAACACATGCATATTTCACATACCTATTCAGGTCCTTGCAAAGACTGAGAAAATCACATTTAAGTACATTTAAAATTCTTAATTAATATACATGGCTATCTTTATCATATTTAAAGCAATTCTGACCACAGGGATATAAAACAGAGTATTGTCCAGATGTATTTTGCTGGCAGTCTTGTTCAATCCAAGGATGATTTTGGTCCTATCTTGAAGAATGGGTGGACTCTGGATTATAGTTCAGACAACCCTTCATAAATGTTTCTCTTGAAGAAGCTTTAGCAAAATCATGGCATTTCAGTGAGTCTGCGATCAGACCCTGTGGCATGTCCCTGGCGGCAGCTCTGTCCTGCTGCTGAGTTCGGGGGACGCCTCTGCAAAGAGCCGAGGAGCTTGCTGAGGACACGTGCAGGAAGAGAAAACACGTCACCTCTTCCCAAACCGGGCCCTTGGAGCTCCCAGAGAGGAGCCAGAATTGTCCTTAAAAAAAGTTTAAAATAAAAAACAGCAAGCAAAATGCAGGTGTAAATAGCCAGCAGAAAATGACCACTGTGGAAAGGCAGATTGCTTGGAGCTTGGAAAGGCTGGAAGCACGCGTTACCCAGCCCCTCTGGCCACGCACAGTGACGGCAAGAGCTCAGGGAAGTGCCGGCAGAGCCCTTAACTCTGGTGACGTAACTCCCGCCACCCGATATTCTCAATGTCCCACAGCACCTGGGGTTCTAAATTAAGAGTAATTTCGGAAAGTCTCCAATTTGAAAACAACTTTTTTTAAGTTTCAGTTCAATTTACAGATCTTGTCATTTTATTTATGCATCTTTTATTTTTATATAAAATAAAAGCAGTCACTTTCACAGAGACCTTTGAATAATAGGAGTTTAACCTCAGTAGAACAGATGTGTTCCCCCAAAATCATCTGTC